TAATAATGCAATGGCTTTGTAAGGAAACACACACTATCAATTTTTACTTCATGTCTTCCCAAAGAGTTTTCCTGCTTTAATTAGTCACTTTTCTGTTGCTGTGACAGAAACACCATGACGAAGGGAACTTATAGACATAAGAGTTTATTTGAGCTTACGGTTCCAAGGGGCAAGAGTCCCTTGGTGGGGAGACATGGTGGCAGAAGTGGCTAGAGGAGGAGCTGGAGCTAAGCTCTCACATCTTCAAGCAGGCACAGGAAGAGAGCAACTCAAGATCCAGCAAGGCTTAAGTACTCTAAGCCCACCCCCAGTGGCTCCAACATGGCCACACCTTCTAAGACCTCCCAAAACAGCACCATCAACTGGGGACAAAATGTCCAAATACTTGGAGTCTATGGGGGACATTTTCATTCAAACCATCACACTGCTGCCATCCTACCTTGCTCTTCTTCCTGCTGGTGCTGGGGACTGAACTCAAGACCTTGCATGCACTAGGTGAGTAGTCTGTCATAGAGCTGTGCCCTCAGTCTTTCCTGTGCTTGCTATGTTTTCATGCTACTTGCAAAATAAAAGTCTCATTGACTTTTTCAAGCTGAGGCCTGTTAGCTCAATCAACCATCTTTTAAAACTTTCAGGTGAGTGGTCATGAGGGAAGCATCTGGGCTATAACACAGCTGACACAGAGCAAATGGATCTGAGTCTTCAGAGTCAACCAAAGTCAGACAAGAATAGCACGTGATAGCCCTTATTCTGTCCTTCTTTAAAAAGAGATGGGAAAGAGCCTGGTGTGGTGGTGCATGCCTTTAAGCCCAGCACTCAGGAGGCGGAGGCAGGCAGAGCTCTGTGAGTTCAAGGTTAGCCTGGTCTACCATAGCAAGTTCCAGGCTAGTCAGGACTATATAGTAAGACCCTGACTCAAAAACAAAAACAAACAAAAAATAATTCTTGCCTGGTGTGGTGGTAGACACTGAGAATTCCAGCACTCCCAAAGGATGAAGCAGGCTTGGGCTACATAGGAGGTGGTGGGGGCAGCTAATTCCAAGAGATCTGCACATGGCCCCTAGTCCACTTTGTTGATAGCCAGAGGGGCTGCCTCACCCCTCCAAACAGCATCCCTGCATCATTTCTGAGGAATCCACAGCTATGATGGATGTGGAGTAAGCTCAGCCCCAATCACATGATGCAACGGTCAGGTCTGTCTTTCAGTGTCTCCCACTGCCCCTTGCATAGTGTTGGTACTTAACTCTGCCATGCTAAGCTCATGTATTTCCAGAGTTTTGTTGTTTTGTCTTAAAATAGACTAATGCTAAAAAAGGCAACAGCAATACTTGTTCCTGTTAGACAAGGCAACAGAGCAAAACCTTTTTTAGTCCTAGATCTGTTTTGCTTTGTTATAAAACACAATAAAAAAAAATAAAGTTTCAAAGACCACAGTATACTCTTTAAAAATTCCCCAAAGTGCAGAGAGGGCACGTTCATTGCATCATTTGATGGACACCTAGCTGCCCCTTGTGAGCCCAGTCTCTAGGTTTCAAAAGGAGCTCCAGGCTACCTTTTCTCCTCTATGAGACTGGTGCTTTCACCTCCCAGGTAGCTCAACTGGCTCATGGGAAGCCAGGTCATTTAATTCTATTATTCAAGACTAAATTATAGCAAATAAAATACAATTTTGTAGCAACACATTGACTTCATTATTCCCTACTCATGGGGACTATTCTAGTTGTTGAATACTCATTCTGCACATTAACATTGGACCACATATTAAACTCATGTCAATATCCAGAGGTGATTACCAGAGGAGCCAGAGGACCTTGTGGGCTTATGAATTCTGCTGAGCACACTGAGCACCCTTTTGGAGAGCATGGGGAGGGGGCAGGGATGAAGAGAGCTTGGCTGATGCTGCCATGGGGCCAAGCCAGGGGCTAGGGAGATGCTTGGCTGCTAAGTATTTGCTAGGTAGCCAGGAGGCCCCGATCCTCAGTACTCAGATCCTCAGTACTCATGGCATGTGTCTGTAACCACAGACCTGGGGAAATATAGACAAGAGGATGCCTTAGAAATCACTGGCCAGCCAACCTAGCCAACTTGGTGAGCTCCAGGTTCAGTGAGACCTCATCTCAAAAAATAAGGTGAGGAGCAACAGAAGATACCCAAAGTCAAACTTGTGGCTTCTACATGCAAGCACACACACATATATGTGCCTCCACCTAAACATCCATAAAATACACATGTGCATGGGCGCATGCATCCCTGGGCATGCACACATACACCCATGGCTGGCAAAGTAGCTCAGCAGGTAAAGGTTCTTGCTGCCAAGCCTGATGACCTGAATTTGATCCCCTAGGTCCCACATGATAGAGTGAACCTACATTTGGGGGTTGTCCTCCATATGCATGCTATGGTACACACACACAAATGTAATTTTAAAAACCCAACTCAAATCATGTATTACAAGTTCCTCATGACAGCAGCCCTTCAAGCCTTCCAGAACCTTTTGCTTTGCACATCAAAGATGACAACAATCTAGAATTTCTGATGCATCTTGCAACCCAAAGACCTCTGGAAGATCCTAATTCACATTTTGTGGAAACAGACACACACTAAAATGAACTGGTTCACAGATTCCTGCTGATTAACCCATTAACTCAAACATTTGACTGACAGGACACCGGAGCATCAAGAAATCTGGAAGACCCAGAGGTGCTGACCTCCCCAGTCACACTGTTTATGAAGTGGGAATCTAATGCCCTCCATGGGCTCTGGCTTGTTATTTCTGTGTGCTCCTTGGACAGAGCTTTTCCTGAAGGCCCCACTGATCCCCTGCCACCCTAGAACCTGTCCTGCTCCTCACTTCTACTCCCAACATCCCAAGCCTGGAGGCTCCTCAGAAACCAAGCCAGTGACCAACCTGGTTGCTGAGTCATTCTCCTCTCAGTGACTGCTGTTTACACAGCCAAGCCCAGGCCTGCAAAGGGCAGTCACAGAATGGTGTGTGGGGTTGATCAAAGCTCAGGCTGTGGCCTCGGCAAACCACCATTAGCAAAGAGGGATGGGAAGGGCCATTCACACAGCATGAGCCAGCGAAATTGGCAGTCACAGATATCTAGGTCATTCTGAAGGGGCTGCTGTCACAGAGGAAGGCTAGAATTCATTTCACCACCTTGTCCACTGATTCTCTAGAAGTTAAGGGAGCAGGTGTATGCATGAGGGTCATTTAACTCTTACCTGGTCCCTGGCCTGCTTTGGAATCACCAGAAGCTGCCTCACAGGGGCCTTCGAATAAGGGGCTCTCAAGCAGCATATTGGGGTCACTGCCAGGTCAATGATACCACACACCTTTGTGAATGCGTACCACGCTCCTAGCTACAGCTTCAGCTGCCAAACCTGACACCTGGGCCAGACACTGGAGAGAACAGCTCCAGTGAGCAGTGACAGCCTTTTGGTAAGATCTAATACCCCCAGGTACTGCTGCTGTTCAGCCAGGGCAGGAGCCATTATAGCTAAGCCTACATTTATTCCAGACCAGGCTGCCACTGAGAACTTCACCTGCTTAGCTCACGCCAACCATGCAGTCATCCTAGAATATAGGTATAACCCTTTGTACTGTTCAATGGGCGAGGAAATTGAGACAGAGAGGTAAAGGTCATACAACTGAATCAGGGAGCCTCGACCCCTAGAGCCCTACTCTGCACTTCTAGAGCATACTGGGTCTTCCCTAGAGGGGAGCAGGCCTAGTCAATCTCTACAGCAGGACTCTGCCTTCTTACGGTCCAGCCACCTGTTTCTGAGCAGTAGTACATCTGCCTCAGTAACAGAGTCTCCGAGTCTCCTGGCAACTCCTAGCTCTAATGCATTGTGCCAGGGAAGATTTAGAAGGTGGTAGCCTATCTTCTCCCTACCACCATTGTCCTTAAAGAAGGGATGCCACCATCTCCAGGCAGGTCTGTGCAGAAATTGAAAGACAGGTGGAGAGACATGAAGAGACACAGACACATACACAGAGAGTAACAGAGGGTCAAAGAGATTTGTGATGAGGAGGATATAGATAGGGCTGACCCCAAGATGCTTCCATCTCTACCCTGAAGAAGTCAAGAGAGAAGGGAGGGGTTGAGCCAGATTTGGGGTCTCAGGAACCCTCAAGTGGGAAGGGAGGGATGCGGACTTCAGAAGCTAGCCATGGGTTCAAGACCTGATCCTTTAAAAAAAAAAAATTTACTTTTATGAATGCATTGCCTGCATGTATGTAGATGTACCTGTATCATGTAGTGCCCACAGGTCAGAAGAGTGTGTTGGATCCCCTGGAACTAGAGTTACAATTGTTAGTCGTCACGTGGGTGCTGGGAACTGAACCCCAGTCCTCTGCAAGAGCAGCCCCAACTTGGTTAAGTAGTTTTAGATTCAAAGTAACACTGAGAATGAAGGGTCCCTGTACCCTGAGAGGGTACATGTGCAAGTTGGCCTAACCCAACCAATGGCCCACTTCCTCGCATTCCCTTGTGGCAGACCATCAGTGGGGTTGGCTCTGAGGGGATCGAACTTTCTATTCCAGATGCAGCTCAAAAAACTGCCAAGTCCTTGAGGACCTCTCACCTAGGCACCAGAAGGGTCTTGACCACAGGGTCCTTTCCAACCCACCACCTGCTCCTGGGGTGGGTGTCTGGGTAGTGCCATTTCACTACAGGGAGCAGAATGCAAACCTGTCCTTCAGAGCTGGTGGCTGCCAGGATGCTTTAGACTGGACCATACATATGGCCCTGCTACTTCACCAAGTGGCTCACATCTTGACAGGGTGGCCCAGTCAGCATGCACAAGAACGGCCTCCGAGTGGAAGGAATGCTTGTGGTTTGAGCAAATGACCAAATGGGTCACACACAGAACATGAGTGCTGCCAACACTTTGAAGATTAAATTTTCTGTGAAAATCTATTCTACGGCACAATAAAAAGCCAATCCCAATCCACAGAACTATTGAACTTAGATATCATACAGGAAGCGTGGAACCCTGTTATAAAGTGATTTTATTAAATTGATTTGGACAGACTGTAGGTCAAACAATATTTTCTGAAGATAACAATTATGGACTTTAAAGCTTGACATAAAATTAGTAGCTTCCAAAGTGTTAGTTGTATTCCCCAGCAACAGCATGATAAAATAATTCAACTATGTAGAAATATAGAACTCTAGGACTACCTGGAAATTCAAAAATCATTTAGCCTAATGTCCTCATTTTGTGAGAAAACTAGACTCAAAGATTAAGTGATTTGCCCAAGCTTACATACCTAATAGTAATAAAGCTAGAAATCAAACCAATTTTTCCTAAAACTAAAATTCTATCGATGATATTTCAACTGGCTCGCTATCAACTAAAAATCTAGGCTTTTCTCTAACGCTCCACTCTATGGCGACATGGAAGTGTCAGACACTACAGTAAATTGCTGTGGTGGCCACGTGGCCTGGAAGGGGTTTCATTAAGCCAACAGCCCTCTGTGGAGAGAGGGAAGGCAGTGATGGGTAGCCTAGAGGTTTGCCAGCAGGTATCTGCATTAAAACCAATGGTGACAGATTCACTTCCAAACCACATTCCCCATATCATGTGCTCCTTCAAAACCTCCTGTATGTACCAAGGCTTTAGTTTTACAAAAACACCTTCCAGCCAAACAAATGAATTCAAACCTGCAGAGAAAAATCAAACAGTCTCATATTCCCATAACTGCTCTGGCAAGTCCCTTTTCCAGCCTTTGATGGCTGGCAGAAGCCACCAGGCCGGTCACCCACTTCAGACTCACAGGTCCTCAGTTTTCCCCAAAGACTTCCTGAGCAAAGATCTGCATGTGGGAGACCCACAAGAATGGGAATGAGAAAGGAACAGAAATGGTTGCTTTGTGTTCATGTCACTGGGGACTTTTGGTCTTCTCAACATCCCTCGAGTTCCTCTACAAGTTTTATCATCAGTCAGTAGAAATGAAAAACAGAACAGGCCCACAAAAGTCAAACGCTGAGCTCATGCCTCAGCGCCTCCCCTCCCCGAGCACTACCTCCAGCATCTGCCTCTTGTCCCCAGAGCCAGCAGCACCTGTGCTGTGTAGCAGGTATCAATCCCTCCACCTAGCCTCAGCACCCTCAGTGTGGCATCCCTGACCCTAGTTAACAGCCCCCCACCCCCCTCTATATACCACCCTAGTTTATTTCTCATAGCACTTAATCACTACTGCAAACTACATTATTTGTTAACTTGCTTATCCCGTTTCTTCCACCAGAGGTGAACTCATGATCCAGTGGCATTCTTATAGCACCTAGCACCCACTCAGCACCCAGGAGGCATTGATACTCATGGAAAGGACAAATAAAAAGGGCAATGGATTAGCAATGCACACTCACCCCTAAAAGAACAGTCTGTGATCTGTGATGACACCTGCACATTAATGCCTGAGATGACAGATTCATCCCCAGTCAGTCCTCCTAAAGCCTCCCCAGCTCGTGAGGAACACCCCTGCATTACAAAAGGAGCCCAAGGGCCACTTGCAAGGCAGGAAAATGCACGCTTTGCTTGCTTCTTCTTCCCCAATATTTACATTTAGCTACTTAAAAAATTTTTTTTTCAATTTAAAAGCATGTGATACAGTCACTAGAAAATAAGTCTAAGTTCGAGACACAGTGATTAGCAGAGTCCACAAACTAAAGAAAATTTCCAAGGTATTGTACGTCTGCCAACAACTTCCTGATAGGCTGAGTGGATGTTATGATTCTCCTAAAATTTAAAATGAAATTTAATGCCATCTAGGAAGGGGTAGGTGTTTATAGGTACTCTGAGGACATGAGGCAAAGCAGATTCAGAAATAACAGAATATAAGGAAAGCTATGTTGGGTTGAGTCAAGTGGCAACTGCAGAAATACCACAACTACTTTCGCGGGAGCTGCCCATCTTCAAAAGCACTGACCGGTATGCTTGAATTGAGGAAGGAGCATGAGCTCCAAAACAGAGCGTCTGGCATTGCCTGTAAGCACAGCACAGACAGGTGACTCGGGCTAAGCAAAGTTTCATCTACTGAGGCATGAAGCCAGAATCCCAGGAAACACCATACCCATGACAGAGACACAATGCCTCACCTTGGGTACACACACAGAGGGATTCCAAGTTCAGAGTCAAAGTTGTTGGACGTACTTGATGTAACCTGAAGAATGAAACCACCTCACCTAGACCTCCTCAGAATTAATGTTTTGCTGGGGACTGCTGTAGATGCTCCTGGGGTGAACATAGGTGGATACAGGGTTTCCTTCCTAGTGGCACTTATGGATTTTTAAAGATTTTTAGCTCTTAGCAGGACATCTTATATAACTGATATTTTGAGATGGTTTCTCTCCTTGGTGTGCACTCTCTGGTGGATGCAGAGGCTTGTACTCTGGCTGAAGGCTTTGCCACACTCATCACACTTAAAAGGTTTCTCCCCCGTGTGAACTCTCTGGTGGATGCAGAGGCTAGAGCTCTGACTGAAGGCCTTCCCACACCCACAACACCTATAAGGTTTCTCCCCTGTGTGCACTCTCTGATGGATACAGAGGCTGGAGCTCTGACTGAAGGCCTTCCCACACTCATAACATTTATAGGGCTTCTCTCCAGTGTGGACTCTTTGATGCATGCAGAGGCTGGAGGTGTGCCTGAAGGCTTTCCCACACTCTTCACATTTGAAGGGCTTCTCCCCTGTGTGGACTCTCTGGTGCATGCAAAGGTTGGAACTATTACTGAATCCCCTTCCACACTCACTGCAGACATAGGGCTTCTCACCAGTGTGGACTCTCATATGAATTTGAAGATGGGAGCTCCAGTTGAAGGCTTTGCCACACTCATAGCATTTGTAGGGCTTCTCCACAGTGTGGATTTTCTTATGTCTGTTAAGTTTTGTTGTTGTGCTAAAATCTTTACCACAATCATCACATTTATAGACCTTCTCTCCTGTGTGGTCTCGCCAATGAATATGAAGTTCTGATATGTGAAAAAAACCCTTATCACACTTGTCACATTTATGGGGTTTCTCAGCTGTGTGGATTTTCTGATGCATAAAAAGATCTGCTCTCTCAGAGAAAAATTCCCTGCACATGGGGCACTTGTAGATCATTTTTCCTATTTGGTATTGTGACTCAGAGGAGAAAGTGTCTTTACAACCACTAGTTCCAGGACTGTTACTTCATAAAGCCTCCTATTTGGCCATCTTGGCAGCCTATCTCAGGCTTACTCTATTGGGCAAGCTTACCGTCAGCCTCAGCTTCTCCCTGCCTGTCTTTCTGTGGAAGGTTTCTTCCTGCATAGTGTTCCTCACCCAGTATTCTTACTGATTAGATACAAATTCCATAACTCATTAGCACAGAGCTTTCCTTAAGATCCTGAGTGGTCAACATGCCAAATGGCAGCAAGGTAAGCCCCTGGAATCTTTCTGCTATATAATAGCAGTCTTCTACTTCTCACTTATAGAACAAGGTCTGAGCAGTGTTCTGTGTCTACGTGGGGGGAAGGCGCCAGCTGGTGGTGAGCCCCCACAGCACCCCCAGGAGAGTCAGTGCATCACTCTGCCTCCTGCCCATCAGACGAGAGGACTCGCTAGTGCCCAGGCTTCTTAGCTCCAGGGACAGCCAGTCTTGCTCCTGGGGACTCCCTACACAGTAGCACAGCGGCCTTCTGTAATAGAAACAACAAACAACATGAAATAGGCTTTCTGTCCAGAATCACCTGTGATCTCATGGTTCACTTTATACAAATACTACAGCAGGGACACATACCTTTTTTGATCCTGAGGAGGCACCTCTCTTATCTTCCAGAGGGATGTTGTCTCTTGGATTTGCAGGTCTGAGAAGAGAATTTGAAGATATCATATTCTTGTTCTACTCTAAGTACAGGCTCAATTAACTATAAGCTCACCAATTACCCGAACAACATTAAGGAGAGTACCTGCCAGACAGGAGAAACCCTCCAGAGACACAGATGAGCATGAAGAGCTACCTGCAGAAGGGAACAAGAACTCCACTTTGGAAGATCAACCCTTCTTGGTATGTTTATAATACCTAAACCTTACCCTGAGTATCAAGGCCCTACATGACCCCATTCTTGAGCTCTCTCTGCTTCCTGCCCCCAACTTTTCTCTTCAGGTCTCACAAACTCCAAGTGCAGCCTGCCATAGGGCCTTTCCAGATGCTGCTCCCAGAGCTGGATCCACTCTCCTCTCAAGTGTGGCTGTGTCAGCTGTCCCTCCCCTGCCTAAAAAAAGGCCCTGTTGTTTGGTTCCTTCAAAGCACATACAATTTGTAATTATCTTCTTTGTTCCCTTCGTTTTTAATCTATCTTCTGTACCAGGAGGGATGAACTTGCTCACTACCATGCTCTGACAGAGGGAGGTGCTCAGTTAGTGCTTGTTCAGTGTGTCTGCTCATACCCTGGGAGCCTGCCTCATTCTGGAGCAGATAGGCAGACATGTCTCACTGATTTCCTGGCTTTTGATAACCACAGGGACAAAATAGACAACAAATAGAATATAAAAGGAAAATTCTCAAACCACTCAATCAGAAATTGTTTGAGGATATTAGCAATCTTTCATCTCTTGTTATTTTATACAGTGATATTTCAAATAACGAATTAAACAGCATCAAAAGGTATTTTTTATGTTTGTATGCATGTGACCTATGGGTATGTGGGTACCATGGTGCACATGTGGAGGTCAAAAAACCACCTCACCAGGCATGGTGGTGGTGCATGCCTTTAGTCCCAGCACTCGGGAGGCAGAGGCAGACAGATCATTGTGAGTTCAAGGCCAGCCTGGTCTACATAGTGAGTTCAGGTCAGCTGGGACTACAGGGAGACCCTGTCTCAAAAAAGACAGGAAAAAAAAAAAAAAAGAGAGACAACCTCAAGTGTTAGTCCTCACCTTCCAGCTTGTATGAGATAGTCTCTTGTTGCTTTGTCGTTATGTATGACAGGCCAGTTGGCCTGCAAACTTTTCAGGGATTCTCCTGTGTCCATCTCCCATCTTGCTATAGGAGTTCTGAGATTACAGATGTGTACCCTGATGCCCATGCCCCACTTTATCAAGGTTCTCTGAAGTCAAACAAGTGCTCATGCTTGCACAGTATAGTCTTTCACCCACTGAACCATCTCCTGAGTCCAAAAGGTCTTCAATTAAAACACTTTTTTTTTTTTGGTCTTTTTTCAGACAGGGTCCTCCCAGTAGCCCCAGCTTGCCAGGAACTCACTATGTAGACCAGGCTGGCCTTAAACTCACAGAGATCTGCCTCCCGAGTGCTGGGATTAAAGGTGTGCACCACCATGCCCGGATAAAACACTTAAAAAAAAATTTTTTTTTTAGTATGTGTACATGTGCACATGGAGGCAAGAAGAGGGCGTGGAACCCCTGGAGTTAGAGTTACAGGCAGTTGTGAACTGACATGGGTGTTGGGAGTGCTCTTAACCCTTCAGCCATCTCTCCAGATCTTAAAATGACATTTATAATGACTCCACATACAAAGTGGGTGCATGGTGGCCAAGATGCCAAGGGCATGGTGGGGAGCTCTGTATCAAAGACAGTCAGACTGTTGCTGCAACAGCAAGTTGTACTCTGGAATCTGACATGAATAAACAATTGGCTAAAAGGAGAGGGTATCAGGTAGCACATGGGCACAGTACCTACAGAGCAATGCCACTGTACTATGTAAAGCAATGTCTAGTCTTGGGTCACCCTGAAGTTTACAGGAGAGGTTTATGACATGGGTACTTCAAAAATAAAACAAAGAAAAAGAAAAGCAGGCAAAGTACAAAGCACAGATGACAAGTCATCTAAACCACTAAATCCAGGGCACAGAGATGAGTAAGTAGAATATTCTGCCTATGGCTGAAGTTTCCTGTGATAAAAAGCTTAACGCCAAGAAACATTCTTTCTCTGTTTCTCCTGCAACAGCAAACCACGTTTAGGACCAGACACTGTCCAGCAGTCCTGTGAGACTAATGGCAACCCTGGAAGGCTCGGCCTCCAGCTGAGCCTGCACCCAGAAGCACAAGCTGTAGTGTCCCAGGAGAGCTGAGGAAGGCAGTCAGTCCTGTGGCAGCCACAACAGAGAACAAAGGAATCCAGCCACCGACCTCCTTCCCTCATGGGCCAAACCCAGATATAATTTTTAGGAAAACAAAGCAAAAAGACAAAAAAAAAAAAAAAAAAAAAAAAAAAAAAAAAAAAAAAAAAAATTTTTTTGAAACTCCAGCAAATGTGTTGAGTAACCAAAGACCTGAGTAGCAAATGAGAAAGCTCCACCAGGTGGATCTCCTATAGGGGCCCAGCTTGGTGATCTGTGCCATGAGAGGGCTGCAAACTCGAGGAGCAGCACAGAGCTACAGGACCCTGCAGGTTAAGTGCAATGCTCCTAACACAATTGGCCTTATACCCATACTCAATGTCCTCCTGCTGGTTAAAGGGTCACACCATAGACTATGAGACACCTTGCTGAGCTGAGATAGAAGGTACCTGCCCTTTGGTGTCTGACCACCAAAGGCAACATCCAGACTGCACACCCATGTCTGTAATGCACACACACCTCACTCTTGAGAAAGGAGCAACTCAAGTAGGAAGATATAGAGAGTTGAAGATGCAGCACACCTTACAAAGGGCCCTCCTTCCTGCCAGAGCTGGCCAATGGAGTGTGCGCTCACTTGCACACCACTGAGGTAAAGTCAGGGACTGGTCCTGTAAGGCAAGAAATCAAGAAATGAGTCTTAAATGCCAGAAAACTATCCCAAGATGAAAGAGGCTGTGGCACTGCAAAGGGAGCTCTGGTGGCTGGGAACGGGCAGAATTGGTGGGATGGGAAGACAGCTTGCTTTCCTTGGAGGCTCTATGGGTCACATGCCCCACCAAATGCAGCTTTGTGTTGCTGCAGCTGCAGCTACACCTGCATTACTCTTCCACACATCCATGCACTGAGGAGCCCCTCTGCTCCTAGTTCCAGGGAAGGTCAGGAAGAGGGAAGAAGGTAAAGACACAGATTGTACAACTGCAGTCTAGGCTCAGGCAGAAATTGAGGGTGACAGTCCCTCTGCCTGGGAAGTGGACCTGGAAACATGAACCTCCTTTATATAGCGCTCCCTGGTATACAGCTGACCAAAAAGTACAATTTTGTAGAGGAAAAGGAAAGTGGGCTTGCCAATTTTGCATGATTTCTCTACACAACAATCCTATGCTTGAATGTAATAATTCAGAGCAAGGGCACAGTCTCCAAAGGGCAGACATTGGTGAGGTGGCACACGGTAGGGTTAGTAGGACCCAGTAGGACCCAGGCACCAGCCAGCTCTTGGAGGTGGAGGATGGTAAGCTCTATATAGGCGCTGCAGTGACACTTGGGCAAGTGGGAAACCTCAGTTATACCCTGAACAGCTCCAGCAACTCAGCCTCCACACCACATCATACACAGTCAGCCGTGAAGCAGACACAGGCCAGGATCTCCATACAGGAGTGCACAGTTTTCCCTGCTAGTTGAGAGGAAACCAGAGATGCAGTAGCTGAACTCACTCAGCCAGGCTGGCTAGGAAAGGTTAGCAGAAGGACACAATGGAAGAGGATATGTGCAGCAGAGGCAGAGATGGGGTTGATGGGGTAGGAGGAAGTTTTAGAGTGGGGGTGGGATAATGATAGTTTTCCAAAGATAGGAAACTGAATGAATAAATGCTGGATGGAAAAAGAAAGGGATTCAGACATGAGCTTCTGGCACACAGGTGACCCAACAGATTTTGCAATTATTTTACAAACTGAGATAATACAGACAGCCAAGGAGGCAGCTCTGGAAGCTAAAGGCCAAAGTGCTCTCACCCTGTTTGAAAAGTGCTGACTGTACACATGCTGAGGTTGCCAAGAGCAACACTTCAATCCATGACCAGCAGTCACCCAGACCAGTGTTGGTAATGACCCCAAGCAAGAACAGCAAGAAGTGGGTCCTGGGTTCAAGCCTTGTGGTATGGGTTCCTAGGGGTCAGAAATTGGTACCAGAGGGTGGGATATTGCTGTGACAGACCTGACCTTGGTGTTTTGGGGAAGAGTGTGGAAGCGTTTGGAACTTTGGGCTGGAAAACCCATTGCGTGCTCAGAGTCTGTTGCTGTGGAGCTTGGAAAAGGTATGCTGAAAGAGTTGTGGATGATGGAGGCCTGGCTTGTGAAGCTTCAAATGGAAGCGGAGACTATCAGGGCTGTTCTTGTGATATTTTGAATTCAGAATCGGTGAAGAATCAGCTGTGATTAAGAAGAGACCAGAACCTGAAGTAAAACCTTTGCTTTACTGGGACAATTGACGCTGGTTAGCTGGGGCTGAAAAATCGGCTGTAAGTAACAAGATACCAACATCACTGTGGTGAAGTCTTCTGGGAGGTATTTCCTCAGCACACAGAGGGGACCCACACCTCTATTTCAAGCTGGAAGCAGGACTTGGTAATGTGTAATAGTCTCCTGCATGGTTCTGGTACTGAAAGGGTGAAGGAGTCACAGAAAGCAGCTGAGGCTTGGCACTCTGAGAGGCCAGGAAAGGCCATAGGTAAAAGTGCAGCTTCAGTTGCAGCGAAGACCCCAGGATTGAAGGGGTCATGGAGAGAATCTGAGGCTTTGCACCCCAAAGAGGCAAGAAGAGGCCATTGGTGAAGGTGTAGCCTCAGTTTCAGTGGAGACCCCAGCTTTTTGGAGATGGCAGGATTGTGGGACTACCACCAAGGACCGCAGTAGATGTGGAATGGAACTGGCCTGGGTCTGCGAGACGAGCTGTTTGTGCTGTGGACTGCAGAGTCAGAGAAGTGGAGCTGCCAGAACCCTTTGGAGTTGCCAGAAGATCACGAGTGACTCCCAGATGTCCAGCCTTGAGCTACTTTGCTGGACTTTGGTTTTGCTAAGGTGTGCCCGATTCTTCCCTTTGAAATAAGACAGTACTTGTTTTGGATTTTACAGAAGCCCATCCACAGCTGAGACTTTTAAGAGACTATGGACTTTTAAGTATTTGGATTTTTTAAGGACTGTGGGGTTTTTAAGGTTGTACTGTCTTATGTTGTGATATTAATGTTAACATCATATCTTGGGGACAAAAATTGGAAAGCTTATGGTTTTAATAGTGATGTGTTTGTCAAGTTGACAAGGGGTCAATTGTGCTGAATAGCTTTAGTGTCAACTTGACACACCTGGGTTGAAGGAGGCTCAATTGGGGAATTGCCTCCATTGGACTGGCCTCTGGCCATGTCTGTGGGGGCATTTTCTTGATTGTTGAGTGATGTGGGAGGGCCCAGCCCACTGTGGGTGGTGCCACCCCTGGGCAGGTGGGCCTGTGTTGCATAAGAAAGCAGGCTGAGCAGGGCCAGGGGAATAAGCCAGTAAGCAGCATTCTTCCAATGGCCTATACTCTAGCTCCTGCCTCCAGGTTCCTGCCCTGAGTTCCTACTTTGGGCTCCTTGATGAACTGTGACCTGGGAGATGTAAGCTGAATAAACCCTTTCCTCCCCAAGTTGGTAGTGGTCAGAGTGTTTTGTCACAGCAATGGAGAGACAAACTAGAACAGGACCATCTGATACTGTCTTTACTTGGAGGTTCACTTGAAATTTTCTATAATAAAAAGCCTGCAAGGCCTCTGCATATCAAATCACTATAATAAAGGGATCTTAAGCCATGAGAAACAGCACTCTAAAGACAGAGCTACGTTACCCACAGCAACCCAGCTCCCAAGTATCCTATGTGACAGAGGCTAGCTTGTGTGTCAGCACTTTTCCCTTCAGGATCGAAACTGTCCTTTACCACAAATACCTCCTCTCAGCATTCTGCTTTGTAAACCTCACAGAATGTTCTCTGCCTACATCACCATCAATCTTCTAGATACTTCTGAGACCTGGCTGTCTCCCTTCTTGCTTCCCATTCTGACTCAGATTCCACAGTGCCCCCCACCCCACCCTCGTCACTCTGTCAGGGTGGGAACCTTTACTCTGTCCTTACCAGGAACTATGCTCCCCCTAAAACCCACACTAAACACTCCTCCTGGAGTCCCCATATGCCCTCACATCTGCTGTAAATTCCAACCTGCCCAGTCACTGCTCCCCAGCTCCTATGGAGCCCCTCACCTGTGCTTACTGCTAACTCTCCTGCCACTCTGGGCAAGATCCCAATCTTTCTGAAACTTTCTACCTATCTACACATGTTCCCAAGTGCCTAAACAGTGCCAGTGGGATCTATGATCACAGATCTCAAAGACACTTGAGTCCCTCCCTATTTTTCTTTAAGTCCTGAATATACATTCTCCCAATATTTTAACTTCAAGTGCACAATATTTCTTTCTCCCCAAGTTGCCTCATGTGGCCTGGATCAGAGGTTTACACTAGCAAGCACCCAGGCTGTTCTGGGCAACCACTCTATCATTCTGTTTTGTCCTCTCTGTGGGTCTAATCCTGTGGAATGCGCTCTGAAGTCAATGACCCCATCACTAAGCAAAAAGTCAAGTGAAAATGACCCAATTAAGGAACCTAAAAGCATTCTGCAGCACTCTAGGTGCTGGTCACTCCAAAGCACTGGACATGGGTGGCCTCACTCTAGGCAGGATACCTATGAGGAACTGAATCTAGGGTAGCCCCTCTAGGTCAGGTCCTTTCAACAAGTCCACTAAACCTCTCTCTATCCAGAACCAGATTCACAGAGCCAAATTTTGCACCAACGAAAGCTGGGATGCAGTTCTCACTTGTTAAGCTTGGTGTTCAAACAGGCATTTGGAGAGGCTGAGTGGAAATAGGGCAGACATTAGAGTGATATGTCCATGAACCAACCAGTGCATAAAGGGTTACTGGCTGCCCCCAGGAGTTGGAGGAGACAAAGCAGCAGCTTTGCCATGGCTTTGGAAGGAGCCAGCCCCGAGCCACCTTTGCCTCCCAGAACAAGGAGAGAAAATAAAGACCTCTGTGTTACTTTGTAACAGCAAGCAGCCCAAGAAATTATTAGAGAAGGTGGCACACTACCTGGAGCCCTGTCCCCTTGGGACAGTGCACAAAACGGATGTCTCTTTATTCTTTCATGAGGTAAAGTTGTGTCCAGAATTATCCACACTTCCCCCAAGCCTTTTTCCCTCTATAAACCTGGACTTACCTCATGGTTATTACTTTGAAGAAGGGATATAACTATGTATTCCATCTATATACTTCCCCCTAAGACACTATATTTTACAAACCTATTCATTTCTCCTTTCCTTTCTAGTGTTTTCATGCTTTGCCTCTATTTCCAAAGGAAGCAAGACTCTATAAGCAGTATATGGTCTTCCCAGCTCCAGCCCATGGTTGGCAGTGGAGGGCAAAGGGGGTGGCCAGGGCCAGCCATCAGAGCAGCCAGCGATGAGGGTCTGTATGCCAGACACAGTGCAGGTCTCACTATATCGCCAGCCACAGCAGACAAGCAGACCTGTTTTCAGGCATGCAGGAGTGAGCAACAAGGTCCCCTGGCCAGGTGCTATACCTAAGTGTTCCAAGTGGAAGTTACCACCAACCCTTGTTTCCATGAAGCACTCTTTCCACTCCATCCCACTACTCTCTACTTCTATGCCTTAAATTTTCATTAGACCAAAGTAACCATCAGGCTCTTCACAGATATGAATAAATTCAAGCTTGTTCTTAAGAGTATCCCAGCTCTGGACTCTTAAGAGATATCTCCACACATCTCCAGCTCAGTGTCTACCAGTGTGCTAGACA